AGGGGTCCAAGATTATCTTCTGTGTCTGTGTTAATTGGTTTCCCTTTTCTTTGTTGAAGAGGGTCTGTGCAATCCTTCTGCCTAGTCCGCCATCTTGCCCAGCCTCCCACAGATTTTTTTTTTCCACTTTCATTATGGTGAAAACTTACACAACAAGACATTTGCCAGTATAACAACTTCCACATTTATAGCTCAGGGATGCTGATGCTGTTTTTCATGTTGTGCCACCATTATTGCTATCCTTTTCTAAAATTTTCCACTGCCATTAGCATAAATGTAGTACCCCCCAAACAAGAGCTTCTCCTTTCCCCCATCCCACAGAATTTATTTTAGCTCTCTCCCTTTCCATATTTATAACATCCTCTGACGACAAGAGACCTGGCTAGCATAAGCTTTAATATATATCCTTATTTGACCAACTGCACTCCCCATATCTAACCAGTCTTCCATCTCTGCCATCACTTCCTTTCTTAGGATATCCTTCTCATCCCACTTCAGCTCTGACAGACCACTCCGAGAATATTTTCCACACAGACTCTATAAAGTCTAGTTCTTAGCTTATTAGTCCTTGCTCTACAGGTTAAGATCTATTATGAACTGTTTGATTTACAAAGATTAGTGCTTATATATATAACTTTGTATAAAGTAATTTTTTTCTTGTAGGTTAATTTAGTTAAACAGCATATCAGAGAGAATAGGAATCACTGTGGCTCTAAAAATTATTAATACTTTATTTTACACTTAATTTACTGTAAGATACAATATAATACAAATTAGCACATATAATGAATAATATTGAAAAGAGATTGTTGTTGTGCCCACTGCCCACCTTAAGAAGTACAGCATTACTAATGGCTTCAAAGTTCCCTGTGTGACAGCCTGGGATTGCATTCTTCTCTCTACTTCTAAAGGAGAACCACTTTCCAGAATTGTGTATTAAATATTCCATAATAGCTTTTTAACTAATCTTTCATAGATTGCTGTTGTGGCTGTGATGTGCAAACCCCATAGATGTCCGCACATCAATTTTACAGGAAATATATGTGTGTAAGTACAATGATTTTGATAAATTGCATGTATGTGTGTTTTAATTGAACTAAGTCCCCTATAGTCCTTGATCAATGCATGCTGGTAAAAACTTCCATTTAATAAATTCATAAGTTAGTTGTTAGAAACAACTAACAATTGATAGGATATTTCAATACTTTAAAAATGGAACATATACAGATTTTAATTTATTAAAACATATAAGGAAAAAATACATAGCTTATAGAACTTAAAACAGTAGACATTCTATTAACAAATGAAACATAGAAATATGAACTGCCTAAATTCCAATTGTTAGGAATTTAAAATGAATTTGGATCAGAAAAGTATCAAAATAGAAAGTTATCCATACAGATAACTTTTAGATGAACACATAAACATCTGAGAAGATCAGATGGGGGTTCAGTGAAAAGTATTATACTCTAGACCAAGGATAGATTCAGCTGAGTCTAATCTTGCACAGATACCAGTGATAAAAAATACCTGCAATCCTTACAGAAACAGCAGAAGACAGACATAGAGCAATCCCTCACAGACAGCCAGACACTGGGAGTGAGAGCCAACGGATCTACCAACTCAGGACCATAGTACTGGGGGACACCAGACTCAATTGGCACAACAAAATACATTAAAATCTTGTTCCACAGCCTATCTTGGTGAGTAGTGACTGGGGTCTTAAGCTTTCAAGTGGCCATCTAAGATGCAGCTAATGGTCTCTTATCGTCAGAAGCAAAGAAGAGTGCAAAAAGCCAAGAGCATTTTGAAATAATCAGCCCTAGGACATGATGGCTCTCAAGACCAGAAGAACTAGATGGTGCCTGGCTACCAATGCCAACCACTCAGGAAGGGATCAAAACTGGAGATCCTGTATAGAGTGGGAGGAAAAATGTGGAACAAAATCCAAAAACACAGTGATGACCAGAATTACTGGTCAGATAGATGGAGTCTGGTCGGACCCCCCCCCCAATACTATGGCCCTGGGATGCACTTTGGGGCTGGAATAAAACTCACTTCCAGGGACTGGCTTTTAGCCCAATTAGTAAATAAGATGTACACGCAGACCACTCAACCCATGGTGATGCACCCACATACTCTGTGGAGATACATCCCTTGGAGTAATCAATCACAGGAGGAAATGCAGGACACAGAGGACTGCATAACTATGTGGGGCACAGGGTGTAGGGGGGTACTGGAAAAGGAGGGGAGGAGACTGGGTTAGGATTGGGGATGGTAATTGGGGAGTGAAACCAAATGTACACAAAATGTTGAATGTAAAACAAATTCTGCTCTACAAATTTGCACCTGAAGCACAATAAATAAATAAATAATAACTTTTAGACTGCTTACATTTAGGTATTACGAAAACATAGCAGAAGAATATGCACGAAACTAGGTAGGAAAGCTAAAAGGGAAAAAGATTTCCTTGCCTGTGGTTACTGAGAAAGCACTATATCAGTCCAAACTTAAAGAAAACTTAACTATTTGCCGTTGAGTCGGACCCAACTCATAGCGGCCCCTCCTTGGGTTTCCAAGGCAGTATCACCATGGAAGTAGATTGCCCAACCTTCCTTCTGAAGAGTGGCTGATGGGCTTGAACTGCCAGCCTTCTGGTTAGTAGTCAAGTGCTTTAGGCACTACGCTACCAAAACGTGTTGTTATTTGCCGTCGAGTCGGACCCGACTCATAGCGACCCCTCCTTGTGTCTGAGGCAGTATCACTGCGGAAGTAGATTGCCCCTTCCTTCCGAGGAGTGGCTGGTGGCCCTAGAAGTTAAACCTTTAAAGTTATAGTGACTTCTGTATTTTGGAAGTGAATGTAATAGTGTTCTTTTATGTATTTATCTTGTTTAATTATTAGTAGAAAATACATTATTTGCAGGTACTGCAAAGGTAGGCTCTTCTGTTAGGATTTGAAAATGAAGCTCTTTGATTTTAGAATTTTATGGAGACTGGTGGCCTAAGCCATTTGACTGCTAACCAGAAGGTTGGCAGTTCAAACCCACCAGCCACTCCGCAGAAGGAGGACTAGGCAATCTACTTTTGTAAAGATTTACCACCTCAGAAACCCAAAAGGGGTCACTATGAGTTGGAATCAACTTGATGGCAGTGAGTTTGGTTTGGTTTGGTAGATACTTGAACTAGACTATTGAACTAAGTTTTATGTCTGACATCTTAATTTGTTTGTTGCATTGACAGATATTGCCCTGGTGGACCTGATTCAGATTTTGAGTATTCAACTCAGTCTTACACTGGATATGAGGTAAAGTAATTTAAAATCGTTCTGATGAAGTGTTACATCATAGTTTACCTCTGATGTGCTTTTATAAGTACTTGCTTTCTTAAAATTTTTATTTTGTACTATTTTCCTCATTGCAAAAGTTGCATATTCACCAAATATTTTCTGAGTTCTACAAGTGCCATTGTTCTAGTCTCCACTAACCTTTTGTGGTTACTCCACTTTCCACCAACCTTTTGAAGATAGAAACTATTATTATCTCAGTTTTATACATGAGCAAACCGAGGCATAGAAGGCTTACACAACTCCTAGTAAGGGACAGAACTAAATTTTGTCCTTTCGGTAGTGCTCCTCATCACTATGTTATACTCCCTTTTTAGCAAGGAACAAAACAAACAAGGTCCCTAGTTTTATGAGATTTACATTCTAACAATAGAAGATGGACAGTAAAGAAAATGAACAAGAAAAATAACCAGTACAGGTAGTCCCCAACTTACGACAGGGTTCTGTTTGGTCTTTTTGACTTAAGTCGGTTCTGACATAAGTCAAATACTTCTTCTTTTTTGTTTTAATTAATACTGCCTTTTATTATCAATCTTTATGAATCTAATCTTTAGTTGTCTTTGGGGACTGGGAACATTATATATAAACTTACATACTTTTTTCACCCATCCATATATACATTAAAAAAATACACAAACCATAAAAATTTACTCCAAAGATGAAGAGGAGTTGGACGATGTTGGCATTTTGTCAGTTGTGGTAATAATTCCACTTGTAGAATATTCTGGATCTGGATTACCCCTGGGAATGGCCATGGTGCTTGTAGTCAGAATATTAGTGAGAGTTGTTTGTATGGTCCTTTTCTCTGTTATTTCGTATATTTTATGATAACATGTCATTGCTTCCTTAATCTGCCTATCACTGACTTTAGGAATGTGATCAGTGTTTGGGTCCATGTTTTCAAGCAACTGAAGCCTCTGAGTTTAGAAAAACTACAGTGTTTTGAGCAATAAATCATAAAATTGAACATCTGCAAGTGAACACCTGAGAATGGTAACATTAGCAAATTATATGCTGCAGCATTGTATGTAGTACATATTACTAACAAGATGTACAAAAACAAAAACACCCAAAGATAGTTTTAGGTGTGGTTTGTTGTAACTAGAACACATTATAAGTTAGGGCCTACCTCTACTAATGAATGGTAAATAGAGAATTACAACTGCTTATAGAGATAGATAGTAGCTGGATTGATACTTTGTGTTGGTTATGAAGGGATTTTCTGAGGAGGTGATATTTAAACTGAGATCTAAATGACATGAAGGAGCCACAAGAATATCGAGAGTATTTCTAGCAGAGAGAATAACTAGAACACACACATCAAAGTAGAAATGACCTTGGGATATTCTGTAGCATAGTGGGTAAGTGGATGCATGAGTTTGGAGAGATAGATCAGGTAGGAATTGGTAAGTCAGGGTGAAAGTTGGGGTTTTATTATAGGTGACATGAGAAGCCATTAGGGTTTAGACCAGGGGAATGATATAATCAGATGTGGGTTTTTCAAAGATCATTTAGATGGCTATGTGGAGAAAGGATTAGAGTGAGGACAAGGATGAAAGCAGGAGACCAGTAAGGAGGCTGTTGAAGGAGCTAGCCCTCTTCAAAAGAGATCAGGAGCTAGCAAATCATATACTTTTTTTTCTTTTTGTGTACAGTTTTTCATTTTTTCCTGATTTTCCATGGTTCACCATTTTAAAAATATAAAGGGAATTATTCAGTGGAAAGGGAGTCTCTTAACTCCTATCCCCTAGCCATCCTTTTCTTCCCACAGGCAGTCAGTGCTACTTCCTATATATTCCTTCAAAATATTTTATGGATATATGGAGATACAAGATTATACATGTTCTTTATCCTTCCTTTTTATACATGTTTTGAGATTAGAACATTGTTCTACACCTTGCCTTTTTACAACAGATCTTATCACACCTATTTGTCACTTATCAGCTGTCTTGCTACATGACATTTTGCATTTATAACAGTAGCAAAAAAGCCAACTATTTTGCACATTAACAGTGTACATCTGACAGTAATGAACTCTGAGGTGTGAAGCAAGAGTAATGCTGGCTGTGGTGGTTAAGGTTATGTATCAATTTGACTAGGCCATGTTTCTCAGTGGCTTCTTGTTGTTGTTGTTATATGCCATTGAGTCGAACCTGACTCATAGTGACCCCTCCTTGGGTTTCCAAGGCAGTATCACTACGGAAGTAGATTGCCCAACCATCCTTCCAAGGAGTGGCTGGTGGATTTGAACTGCCAGCCTTCTGGTTAGCAGTCAAGTGCCTTAGGCACTATGCTACCAGAGCTTCTCAGTGGCTTAGTGGTTATATAATGATATAATTTGGGAGCTGTGTAGTATTGTAGTTATCTTCCATTTTGTGATTTGATGTGGTCACCCTCCACTTTAACATAATGCCAGTTTTTACATAATAAGTTCATCTTTGGAAACTAACCATGTCAGTAAGTATGGAGTTGGGTGTGCATTGTTTCATGATGGTAGAGTATTCCATTATTTAGCAGTAGCATAAAACCTCGTTAAGCCATTTCAGACTGTGCTGTATTTAATAACTTTACTTGAAAGGTTATTTTACCATATAAGTCTTATTTTTTCATTATTATTAGTATTTTATTTTTCTAATTTTTGCAGTGTTCCTTCCCCTCTCCTCCTACCCCTGCCACATAACTCTTTTGCATATATATGCACATCTGTAAGGAGCTCTGGTGGCGCAGTTCCTATAGCATTTGACTGTTAACTCAAAAGCTGGCAGTTCAAACCCACCAGCCACTCCATGGAAGGAAGATGGGGCAATCTACCATAAAGATTTACCACCTCAGAAACCCAGTGGGGGTTGCGATGAGTTGGAATAGACTCAGTGGCAGTGGGTTTGGTTTGCGGTTTTATGCACATCTGTGAGTTATCAGTGGCATAACAATTTGGTGACCCTTGGGATTCAGTAGGTACTTACACAAGAGATAAATATGATCCAAGGAGACATCCTGGTGTTGAGATACTTATGACGTGGGTATGTAGACTAGCCTGATGATTTTCAGCATGTTATTCTGAATGCTGATAAGACAGAGGAAGAAAGGGTCACAAGCCAAGTTTTTAGTATTCCAAAGCATAGATAATTTTATTTTTAATACAACCGTTTTGAAACTACTTTTATTTTTAATTCACATATGGGCATAACAGGATGTTTTTCTCTTATTTTCTTAGCCAACCTCCATGAGAGCTATCCGTGCTAGATATGACCCTTTTCTACAGACGAGACACCGAATAGAACAGGTAAATTTAAAAAACTGTTTTGAAAGTGGAATTTTTACTTAATAAGAAATTATTGTTGTTTGATTTGGGTTGAGCCTGAAATAAGTACTAAAACAATGTTTTTCTCCTTTATAAGTTTTTCATATCTGTCCTAGATAGGGAGATGTGTTACAGTGCCTAACAAAGTCAAAACCACCTCTTTCTTTAGAGTGTGTATTATTTTCTTTAAAGAGTTGTTTTCCCAAATTTCTTTCAATTTATGGAAAGTCATTTATAGTATGAAATTTGTAGAGTATATGTGAAAGTTCTCAGACAGTAGGTAGGTAGGATGATTTTTAACCTCCATAAGCCTTATCAATAAGCATTGTGACTGGTTTACTGGGAGTAAGATAGGGAATTGACTACAAAAGGATATGAGGAACTTTTGGGGGTTGTGGAAATGTTCTGTATCATGATAATGGTGGCAGTTGCACATCATTATACATTTATCAAAACTAATCAAATTATATACCTCAAGTTACTGGATTTCACTGTATGTAAATTATACTTCAGTATAACTAATTAGAAACAAGAACCATATAATGACCTGTTAAAGCACTCTGAACGTTAATATAGGTTTTCTTTGCTTGCACTTTTATTTGAAACTTGTCTAATTTTTAAAATGCAAGGAGGTCTGTGGTTGTTGGCAGTAGTATATAAGACAAATAGAATATCTAAAATCGAAAGTAATACCATATTTTTCACAAATAGCACACCCACGTAAATAAATCGGACACTCATACAACAGACAAAAATGATGAAATTATGTAAAAATGTTCTAGCATAGTGTACCCAGACATATACCGCTCATGTCCCCTGACATTCCAGAAGTGAATTTTGCCTTTATTCACCCTCAGTCAATATTCCAAAAATTATATTTTTGATCATATTTGTGTAATCAAGGTATAAGCCATGGTGAAGAAGTCATAGATCGAGTTTGGTAGTACCCTGATAATCAGAAAATAAACAGTTGGAACTGTGTTTTTTTTTTTTTCTATTAAATTAAGTTTATATCCTCATCACTTTTGAGTCTTCATTTGGAACCTTGAACCTACTGAAGCCTGTCCATAAATCACATGCAGTCAATTGAAAATGTAAACAAAGTGAAGCCTGAATGGCATAAATGGCATCGAGTAGCTATCAATAGGAATCTCAATTCAGTCTGCATTGGTTTAATTATCACAGTTGTCTTCCAACTCTTCCTTTTAAATGGAGGGGTTAAAGCAAAATTGATATAGGATCACTCAGCTCAGCAGTTGAATGTGAAAACCTTTTCAGATCATCTTAAGTGAAACCATTAAGCTATGTCACGCCTGCTTATTTCATGTTTAATATTGTCTTTATTAGTGCCAAGTCTTTGATCAGTGATCACAAATCACCTTAGTCATGCTTGCGAGAATATAAAAAGACTCTTCCTTCTTGTACACCTCACATTTGAATTTTGCAATCCTTTACTAAAACCAGCTAGTTGTCAATTGTGAACTTTTTTTTAAGTTATAAGTCTAAATCTTAGAACTCTTTCAGATCATATCAGGAATTAAACACAAGTCCTAAAAGTCCTAACCGCTGACTTCAAACTGAAAGTTGTTGTGAGGGCAGAAGAAACAAGCAACAGAGCAGCAGCGAGAGAGTTCGAAGTAGGAGAGTCAATCTCAATCTTTCTCCAATGAAGAAAGGAAGAAAAGGAACTGGAGAAAAGGAGTCCTTGAAAATAGACATATTGTGGCCCAGAGCAAAGTGGCCTGATTGGAGAACAACTTGAAAGAGTGGATTATTTCTCTAAGGAAACAAAATCAAGATATCTCTACTGTCGCAATTCAGATCAAAGTGAAGTTCTGGCAAATGAAGGAGGAATCCCAGATTTCAAGGCAGGTTTCACCTACATTTCTAAATTCATGAAAAGGAATGGCCTTTCAGTGAGAATGAGAACCACTGTAAGTCAGCAACGTCCAGATGACTGAGAGCAAAAGATGGTAACTTCTGTGTTTTTGTCATAAAAGAAATCTCTGAACTTGGTATCTCCGGAATGGATATAATTAATATGGATGAGATTCCAGTGTCCTTCAACATTTCGGCCACCAGGACTATAACTACTTTAGGTATGAAAACTGTAGCCACTAACAACCACTGGGTACGAGAGGGCTTCCTTCTCTGAAGTCCTTGCTTGTACTGTGAGTGGAGAGAAGTTAAAGCTAGTGGTGATTTTCAAGAGAGTTACCATGCCTTGCAGCCTTGCAAAAAACTGCCCACTTGTGTGGTTGTTCATTGTAGTAAGAAAGGATGGGTGGATAGACTGTGTTATTAAGAAAGTATGGGTAGATAAATAGATAAATGTTATAAGGCCAGGCAGGGAGGATTCTTTTTGAAGACAACTTTACTAACTTTTGATGCTGTGACTACTCACAAAAAAAAAAATAAATAAATTACCTGGTGCTCATATAGCTGTCATATCTGGTGGCCTTACTGAAAACTGCAGCTACTAGATACAGCAGTCAACCAACCTGTTCAAGACTTTCTTGAGAAGAGTGGTATGAATCAACGGAGTCTGGGATTCATGTGTTTACACCATCAAGACAACTGAAACGGGTGACGTTTCCAGAAGTCTGGAAGTGAATAGCTTCCACTTTGGGAAAAATAACCCTAGAAACCATCCTCAACAGCTTCAGAAAGCTAGGATTGTGTGCCCGCAGAATGCTGAAGATGAAGATGAAGACACAGAAGGCAGAGATGATATCAGTTCAGAAGTTACAGAAGAGCATCTGTCACTCTGAAATATCTGAGCTCTGATATATTTCAACAATGATAATGACAAAGGGACCAGACTTTGAAGGGTTCCAGGAGTTGGATAAATGATGATGATGATGAATGAATATACAAAATGGCCTTTAAGATGAAAACAGAATTTCTTCTAGTGACTTTTATTTATTGATTTCAAAGACATTGATTATCAAAAATTAGTTTCAGTTTGAGAATTGTTGTTGTTATTTGCCGTCGAGTTGGACCCGACTCATAGCGACCCCTCCTTGGGTTTCCGAGGCAGTATCACTACAGAAGTAGATTGCCCCATCTTCCTTCCGAGGAGTGGCTGGTGGGTTTGAGCCACCAGCCTTCTGGTTAGCAGTCAAGTGCCTTAGGCACTACGCTACCAGATGCAAATCCAAACCGCAGTAAGAGAGCCTTAGGCACTATGCTACCAGAGCTCCTGTTTAAGAATTAGGAAAGCAATAACATACAAACAACATCTTGTTCTTTTAGTTTTAGGCATAGGATCATTTCTTACTTACTAATAGCTAGCTCTTTTTGCATTTATATCTTTTAGTTTTCACGTCGTATGCCATTTCCATCACTGGCCCATTCAGTTCACCATTGTTTGCACTTAGTTTAGGAACATACCTACCTTAAATGAAGTTTCCATGAGATCAGTTTTATCCTGTTACCCTTAAATCCAATGGACAGAAAATAAAAATTGAAATTGAGGTTGGCAAACATGTAAAAAATATTGGTATAATGTGCTTGTGAAAATAACATGCAGAGGGTGTGTTGTTTGCAAAAATGTATGAACACACTATTTTTGTTAAAATACAGTGTGTGTGTGTGTGTGTGTGTGTGTATATGCGATAGTGGATAAGTTGAATCTGGGTACTTAACTGTTGTTATTAGACAATATCATCCAATTCTAATTTTCACTTAGGTATATTGTAAACTTACCATGCTTTTGATTTTTTAAAATTATGATATTTATTTAAAATACAAAATTAATGTTTGAATAGAGTTTGAAAGGAACATTGGTTTTAAATGGCTTAGAAACTGATATAGAACAGTGGTTCTTTTCTTAACCATCAGTAACTTGAGTTATTTTCTCAAAGTACAAATCAGAGTTTCACCTCCAGAGATTCTGATTAAGTCTGGTAAGGGTCCTGGCAAGTTAATTTTGAAAAAGGTACTAGAATGACTTAACCCTTGTTAACAGCCATAGATACAGAGATAGAATATTCTGTTAGTACTGATGTGTGTACGTATGTGTGTATATGTCCATATGCATGTATATAAAAACCAAACCCATTGCCATCGAGTCACATGTGACTCATAGTGACCCGTCCTTGGGTTTCCCAGGCTGTATCACTACAGAAGTAGATTGCCCAACCTTCCTTCTGAGCAGTGGCTGGTGGATTTGAACTGCCAGCCTTTTGGTTAGCAGTCAGATGCCTTAGGCACTATGCTACCAGAGCTCCTATGCATGTATATATGTACGTATAATTGTTTTTTCCCATTTGAAGAAACAAGTATAAAGAGAGGTGCCTTTGTGTCCAAATTATGTGTAGAATTCCTTTACGTAGTGTGTTAACTCTAGTTCATAACCAAGTAGTCTGTTTGATCTTGTTTCTCAAGCCTAACATTATGGTCAGAAATTTAAATACTTGTTTTTGAAAATTAGGATCTTGGCTCATTTTAGTTGACAAATGAAAGATATGTACTATTTTGTCTCCTAATAGGGATGATATATTTCATATTTAGTCAATTTTCAGACATTTTCTTGTTTTTCCCCTCAAGAAAGCAGACTTGAGGTGCCACCTGTGCACTGAATCTTCACAGTCAGTTTAAAAAAGCTTTTTTTCCCTAGTGTTCTTTTTCTTTCATTTCCATCAAGCCCTGATTATATAGCATATCATCTTTGTTGTCCCCAAGGCCTACTACAAAGTCTGACATAAAACATACGATCAATAAATATTTAGTTATAATGAATAGATACTTGTCTTTGTATTTGGTAGTATATATTCTACTATTTTTAAATTTCCATTTGGCTCTGTAGATGTTGAAGTGAAGCTTCTTGTTTATTACTTTTAATTCTCACTCTCCCTCCTTATTTGAGCTATAATTGTATGTATTTTTAAATTCCACAGAATTATCTAAATATGTTTAATTGCTTTTTATTTTAAAACTACTGATAAAAACATTGCAAGATAAAGTTAGAAATGTGCAACATCCTCTTAGGGTATGTGACTATTGCTTTCTAATGCTGATGAATTATGTTTTTCAGTTAAAACAACTGGGTCACAGTGTGGATAAAGTAGAGTTCATTGTGATGGGTGGAACATTTATGGCCCTTCCAGAAGAATACAGAGATTATTTTATTCGAAATTTACATGATGCCTTATCAGGACATACTTCCAACAATATTTACGAGGCAGTCAAGTAAGAAACCTTTATTTTATCTTAAATCAGTCTTTCTGGGTAAACTTTGTGCTAACAAACTGTAATTGAATATTCTCAACATGAGATATTCATTATTTTTTGCTATTTTTAAAATTATGAAATATTTCAGGTGTACAAAAACCCGAATGTCAAAAACCTTGTGCCTTTCTTGATCCCCCTATGCTCTTTCCTCCATACAGCTAACTATTTTCCTGAGTTTGTTTCTCGTTGTTGTATGAGAGTTTATTTCATTTATTTGTGTATACACATATGCACAAAATATAGATATATTCATATATATGGAATATAATAGTATTTGTGCGTGTTTTGAAACTTCATATACATAATATCACTTAGTAGATTTCATTTTGCAGCTTAGTTTTTCTGTTTAACATTATGGCTTTGAGATTTAGCCACATTGCTGCTGCTGCTGTTAGTTGCTATAGAGTCAGTTTGACTCATGGCTGCTAGCAGCTCTAGTTTGTTTTTAAACTCTCATGTGCTATTATATACTATTTTATTGTGGGGAAGAAAAAACTACAATTTATTTATCCAATCTTCTGTCAAGGATGTTTATAATTTCTTCCTACTCTAAAGCTTGATAAAATGAACTTCTTTATATATATCTCTAAAGATAACTGTGGTTTCTCTGGGTCTCTGCAGAGCTGAAGGGTATTGCATCTTTGACTTTCCTTGATATATCATCACTTTACTTTCCAAGTGGTTGTCAATTTATCCTCTTTGAAGCAGCATATGACAATTTCTTTTGCTCTTCATCCACATTCTTATTTCTTGTATTGTCATACATCAGAGATATTGTGAGTTTGTTTTCAGACCATTACAATAAAGCAAGTATCATGATAAAGTGAGTCACACACATTTTTTGGTTTCCTAGTACATATGAAAGGAGCTCTGGTGGTGTAGGGCTTAAGGTATTTGGCTGCTAACCAAAAGATTGGTGATGTGGAAGAAAGATGGGGCAGTCTGTTTCCATAAAGATTTATAGTCATGAAACCCAGTGAGAATCGCTATGAGTAAAAATCAACTCAATGGCAGTGAGTTTGGTTTGGTTTGAGTGCATATACAAAGGAGCTCTGGTGGCATAGTGGTTAAGGCATTTGGCTGCTAACCAAAAGGTTGGCAGTTCAAACCTACCAGCAGCTCCACGGGAGAAAGATGTGGCAACTTGTTTGTATAAAGATTTACAGCCTTGGAAACCCTCTAAGGGTTGCTGCGAGTCAGAACTGACTTGATGATTAATGGGTTTAGTTTTTTTGGGGTTCATATAAAAGTTTACACTATACTATAGTCTATTGAGTGTAGAATAACATTATGAAAAAGTTAGAAATATATTGAGAATTACCAAAACATAACACAGAGTCACAAAGTGAACAAATGATGTTGAAAAAATCATGCTAGTAGACTTGTTTGATGCAAGGTTGCCACAAACCCTCAATTTGTAAAAATTACTGTGTCTGTGAAGTACAACAAAGTGAAGCGCAGTAAAACAAGGTTTGCCTGTAGTGTTTTCTGTTTTATGGAGAAAGATTGTTTTTATTGAAATAATTCTTTTTTAAAAAAATGAGTATGGCCATTGTCATAGTAGTCTTCTCAACGAGTGATTCACAGGTGTGATCTGTGAAGATCTTTTTGCCTTACGCTAATCTCAACTGCAGTCGTAGTTTTACTTGGGCTAGCTGAGTTTTCGGCCCACACTAAAAGAGGAATAGGAGAACCACCGTAATACTTAGTTGCTATTAAATCAACAAACAAATGACATTATTTAATAACTGTTAAATAACTTATACTTGTAAATGCAATCATTACTCCTCCTAGTTCAATTCTAATTGACAAAACAGAATTAAACGTTCTTTTGATAACTTCTCAGTTTTTATCAGGAAGAATACTAAAGTTTCATACATACTTCAATGACTTAAGAAGTGGAAGTCTTAAAACAGTTTTTCTTTTCAATAGTTTCAGGAACACCTGGGTAGTTTTTGTTGTTGTTAGGTGCTGTCAAGGTGGTTCCAACTCTTGCAACCCAGTGCACAACGGAACGAAACGCTGTCTGGTCCTGCACGTCATAATTGTTGCTGTGTTTGAGCCCATTGTTGCAGCCACTCTGTCAGCTCATCTTGTTGAGGGTCATCCTCTTTTTCTTCTTTTCTCTGACCTACTTTCCAAGCATAATGTCCTTCTCCAGGGGCTACTTCCTCCTGATAATGTGCAAAGTATACGAGACAAAGTCTTGCCATCCTCATTTCTAAGAAGTATTTTGACTGTGCTCTTATTGCAAGACAGATTTTTTCATTCTTCTGGCTGTCCATGTTATATTTAATATTCTTCACCAAAACTCAAAATTCAAATGTATCAGTTCTTCTGTGGTCTTCCTTAAACATTGTCCAGCTATCACATGCATATGAGGCAATTGAAAATACCATGGCTTGAATCAGGTGCACCTAAGTCTTCAAAGTGGCATCTTTGCTCTTTTACATTTTAAAGAGGTCTTTTGCAGCAGTTTTCCCAGTGCAATACATTGTTTGATTTCTTGAGTGCTGCTCCCATGGGTGTTGATTGTGGATTCGAGTGAAATGAAATCCTTGACAACTTCAATCTTTTCTCTGTTTATTATGATATTTCTTACTGGTCCAGTTATGAGGATTTTTGTTTTATGTTGAGGTATAATCCGTAAGGCTATAATCTTTAATCTTGTAAGTGCTTTAAGCCACTACAGTATGACAAACTGACAGATGAGTAGGTAGCTCTTGTGTACTATTTCCTCTTAAATTTAACAAATGTTTATTTAGACACCACTGTGTACCATGCACTTTTTAGGCATGAGGAACAACATGTAAACAAAACAGATTCTATCATTTCCCTTGTGCTGACATTCTACTTATTAACAGACAAATAACAAAGAATAAGTGCTAATGATGGAAATAGGTTACTATGATAAAGAATAAAAGGAGTTTTGTTTTAGATGAAGTGGTGATAGTTAAGCTGAGACCTGAAGTATAAGAAAGTGTCAGGCCAAGAGCAGAAAGAATATTCCAAGCAGGAAGAATGGCAACGACAAAAGCACTAAAATGGAAAAGACCTTGGGATGTTCTAAAACCCGAGAGAAGGCAAGTGTGGCTAGATCCCAATGAGTAAGGGAGAGAATGGCATGAGATGAGATTAGAATTAGGCAAGGGCTAGATTATACATGATTTTGAGGAGTTCAAATTTTACTTGAAATATAATAGGAAGTAGATGATTAGGTTTAAGCAGGGGGTGACATTCTAGTTGCTAAGTATGAAGGTCATTCTAGCTATCGTTGGTTAATGGATTAGAGGGATATGAAAGAGAAGGTGGAATACCAGAGAGGAAGCTATCCATCCTAACTCAGGAGGGTGGTGGCAATAGTGATAAGGAAGAGAAGATGGATTAAAGTTTTATTTTGTTGATGCAACTGACAGGACTTTGGATTGGCTATTGAGGGATAAGGGAGAGGAAGGAATCAAAGAGGACACCAGATTTTGGCTTTAGAAAATGGTTGGAATGTCATGCTGTATACTGAGATGGCAAGGAAGAGCAGTTTTGTAGGAGAAAATTAAGAGTTTTACTTTGGACATCTTAAGTTTGAAACACCCCTGATACATCCAAGTGGAAATACCAGCTAGGATGTTAGGTATACAAGAGAAGTCTGGGCTGGCAATATAAAATTAGGGATTATCAGCTCATAAATGATATTTACAGCCATATAAATGGATGGATTACCTAATGGGAAAGTGTCAGATCTCAAGGTGTACTAAGTGAAAAAGCAAGGTTTAGAGCTTTTTTTTTTAAACTTGTGATTTGGGTGAAAGTTCACAGAGCAAATTGGTTTTCCATTCAACAATTCATATACATTCTTTTTTGTGACATTTACTGCAATCCCAACAACAGCATTCTTCCCACTTCTTCCCTGTGCCCACCCTTACCATTTATCCTTACTTCCCATTCCCTCCCATCTTTCTAGCTTTATTCCTGGGCAAAATCTGTCCTCTTGGTCTCATGTGCTTGATTGTTCTAATGAGTATATACCTTCCTAATAATACTGTTCACTTTATAGGCCTGTCATTTGGCTGACAGTTGAGTCATGGGGATCAAGTTCAGTTCCAACTTGAAGGATATCTAAAGGCCATAGTCTCAGGGGTTCTACCAGTCTTCATCAGACCAGTAAGCCTGGATTTTTTTATGATTTTGAGTTTTGTTCCACATTTTCTCCCACTCTATCTGAGACCTCTTATTGTGATCCCTTTCAGAGTGATCAATAGTGGTAGCCAGATGCCATCTAGTTCTTCTCTGGTCTCAGGGTCGTGGAGACTGGGGTTCATGTGTTCCTTTAGTCTTTTGGATTAATTGTTTCCTGTGTCTTTGATTTTTTTTCACTGTTCTTTGCCAGACAGGAAGAGACCAATAGTTACTTAGATGGCTGCTGACATGCTTTTAAAACCCTAATTGCTACTCACCCAAGTAGGATGTAGAACATTGTCTTTGTGGACTGTTATGGCAGTTGACCTTAATGTCCCCCAAGACTAAGATCCTGAGCCTCCATACCCAGTGACTCATTCCCTCAAGGTGTTTGGTTATGACTAAGACATTTTCATAACTTTGTCCCCAGTATGACCTACTGCATTCATGGGTATATTTGCAGCACCTGTCAATACATAGGTAGCAATAGCCTCTGTCAAACATGTATGTATTCTGGGAACAGTCCCATTTGCCTTCCCACCCCTGTTCAGATTGAGTGTTCAGAGCAGTTCTTATAGAATGATCCTATAAGTTTTGTGTATATTTACATATATGTATAAATGCATGTAGAATGATCATCATCTAATTATAGGTATTACAGGTGAGGAGAAAAGGACATGGGAAATAGGAGCAAAAGAAGATGTTTACATTTACTCTGTATACAATGTTTCCATCATTGTCCTAGGTGTTTCAGTCACTTATTTAATCCTCACAGTAAGGCTTTG